ACTGAGGGCTGCGATCCGTTGCCGGACACGGAAAAAGACAAAAGACAAAAAAAAAAAAAAAAAAAAAAAAAGAGAGAAATTATCCCAGAAAAGGGTGAGGGAGACGTGACCAACATGCTCATCTCTCTGTGGGCTAGATAAGTATAATAGACTGACATTTCTTAAATTGTTCTGAGCTACTTTCTTTCTCACGCCTCATAGAAAGCACCTGGGCTCACGAGTCAGATGTTGGACTTGAGGTCCAGTTCCACCACGTATTCACTCTGTCCCTTAACCTTTGAGGGTCTCAATTTCATCAGTTCTAAAGCTGGGGGATGACAAATAATAGCACCTACTTGATAGGGGTGTTCTGAGGATTTGTGGGAATAGTAGCTACCATTTATTGAGCACTTACTATGTCTAGACACTTTTAAGCCCCACATGTATGAACTCGTTTCATGAGATCATGTATGTAAAACACTTAGCATGTGCCTAGGATGTAAAATACTGACTGCTGTCATCATCATTACAGTGTCCAAAGAGATACTCCAAAGTGGTAACTATTGAGTCTTTTCTTGATGTCACATGGAGGCTTTTTGTGGTTTGAACCAGGTTACAAAAGATGTGACCCTGGAGCTAGAGGGTGGCGGGGGTACAGGGGGCAGAGTAGGATGGACTCAAGGCCAGTATGGGGAAGAGCTCAGTGCCAGGAGGCTCTGGCAGCGTGTGCCCCGAAACAGGCAGATTTTGCAAGTTGTTAAGCACTGAGCTCCAGGTGTCCCAGTAGTCCATTAAGACAACAAGCTGAAACAAAAGTATGTCAAGCTTGTAATCGCTGACTGCAATAGTAAAGCAAGAGGAGCAAAGGCCAGCTCCCCCAATGTTTCATATTTTCCCCACATGGCAGCCCCAGGTGAGAGACAGATGTATCTGTTCAGATGTATTGCAGATGGCAAAATCATTTCCTGCTGAGGAAACCCTCAGGAAGAAAAGGCTCCTGCTGTTTTAAAGACTTGTGGGGTGGTGCAGAGGGGACAAGAGGGGGAAGGGCTAGCAGTGAGAAAGTACTGAGAGTAAGGTGTCTTCAAGATTCCCCCATTCCTGCCAGGAGGTCCTGGCAGAGGCACCTGGGAAAGGCTTCGGTTGAGGGCCCCCGATAAAGAGGCCTCTGCATGGCAGCCCTTGGGCTGGGCCTGCAGGTATGTGTAAGAGCATGGCCAGCCAAGGGCCTCGCTCCTTGCTGCAGCTTGCTGGCTGTGCACCAAGCCTGGTGTTGGGAGGGCAGCTCCACACCCCCACCCCCACTGATGCCTGTGAGATAAAGCCTTTGCAATTGCCTGTGGCTGGGCCTGAGAGATCCCACACAGGTTTGTGGCCAGGAGCTGGACTGCTCACGAGGAAGTGCTGGGTCTTTAGAGTCAGCCTCTCCTTTACTTATTGGCTGTGCCCTGGGATGGGATTATTTCATTTCTCCAGGCCTTGGCTTCCTCATCTAAAAATGCTTCTCCAATGAGGTTGTTGTGAGAAGTTAACAAGTGCTTATAGAATGCTTAACACAGT